GTGCAGGCTCCCACCCTGGGGGTTTTTAAGAGGAGGTTGGATGACCACCTTACTGGGGTCATTTGACCCCAGTGCTCTTCCTGCCATGGCAGGGGGTCGGACTAGATGATCTGCTCAGGTCCCTTCCGACCCTAGAAACTATGAAACTATGAAACTTCAGTCTTCACAAATAGAGGCAGCTACCAAACGATGAGTGCAGTTGGCAATAAAGACATGGAAGGATCCCAAACTCCCTCTGCACTGACAAGTTGAAAGCTGAGTGCCTGACAATCAACTGATTGGCAACTGACTTTGGGACTGCCCCGGGCCTCCAACCAGCCCTGGTGGAATTTCCAGAGCCAGCTGACAATCAGTTGATTTTTGGCTGGCAGGGACTACACCAGGGCTGGCTGGTGACCCTGGTACAGTACTAACTCTGTCACACATACGTATCAAGGCACAATGGAAACCAGCCACCAAATATTACACTTTCTTTGTGCAATATGCTGGTGGCCAGTTCCCCCTTTGGTGGCACCATTAATTCCGTGAACGTGTAGCCAGGTTACTATTTAAGACATGATTAACAGACTAATCACATGTTAACTGTAACATCTGCCAAGGGCCTTAGAATCTCAAATGAGGTAGATACTGTATGTGATTTCATGGTGGGCAACCAGTCCATTTTCCCCTTTATTTACCTAACGTGCCTGGATGGGAATCACCACTAGGATGAGACTCCTTTGTTTAAAACCTGTTCAGGGCACACAAAAGAAATGGGTAGCTTGTTAGTTATGTGGCAGTTTGTTAGCCATGGCACTGAACCTTGACTCACGTAGAAAAAAAAGCTATGACTGCTATTGGTAGGTGAAATCCAGCAAGTACAGTCTACATTAAAGAAAAGAGAATCACAAGCCTTACCTTTTGCTCTACATTTTCTCAGCTCTCTGTCCTGGATAAAACCAGCAAACATCTGGGATTCCATAAAAACCTCCAGGAAGCGACGGATACTCTTGGAAGCTACTGATTTGCGGAAAGCCTCCCTTTGAAAAACACGCTCTCCCTTTTCGTTCTGAGTTAGGAACAGTGAATAATGGCCTACTGTTTCCACAAAGAATCGGATGAAGACTTCAGATACTAATCCATTCAGGGTGTTACACTCTGCAAAAGAAAGCAGCAATGAGATACTAAATCCAGCTAAAAAATAGATGAGGTAAAAGGTTTCTGCATTGACACTTGCATTTTATTTGGTTCAATCACGTAAGAGTTAACTAGAGTAATGATAATAACTGAAAAAAAATATTTGCAACATTTAAAAACGTACCTTTTAAGGGTTCATACCTTGAACCCTTCTTCCCTACCCCCACAAAAAAGATTACTTGGCTTAGATAGCATAATTGCACTACCACCAAACTTGTCAATTGACAGAACAGCAGGTCTTCCATAAACTACAGTCAACAAAAGTATGTTTTGTTTTAGTGGGCAAACCCATAGGAGACATCTCATAAAATCCTGAATTAAAGTTGAATCTTTTGAACTTTAATCTGAACTATGTGTTTTTTGTCTAAAATTGAATTCAGTCTCCTTGACAGTTAAGCATGCTTCTGTGGGATTTTCACAGTTAAAATGTTTGTTCCAGGGATAATTAAACTTTACAAAGAACTGATTGTAAAGTATTTATTGGAGATCCAATTTGTGCATTGCTTCAGAATGCCTCGAAGGTATTAAAATAGTTATTCATATTTAAAAGAAGTATTAACAAAAATAAATGTGAAAATGAAGAGACTTGAACAAGCTTATATAAGCTTTTAATGTAAAAATCTCTTCTTTTCTTTAAGGAAGGGTTAAAAATACAGCCAAGGGCAGGAGTGCATTGGTATTTCCAAGGAATTTAAAACAGGTTGTTAACAATATATTACAGTGTTTTGATGCCATCAGTCCCCATTCCTTGCAGATGCTGTATTTTGAATTGTACTTTGATGTTGCAAAATGTCTCTCTGGAGTGAATGATGAGCTCTCTGAAACAAGAGCAGTTTATTTCCTGATTCCACGGATGCAATATCACTTGCACACACCTGGAGATAAGACTTGCTTCCAGATTATCTTACCATCATCTGAATCACTATCTGAATCTTGATTTATCAGCTCATTCTTTCGCTCTAGAGCCTGCTCCAGAGCAGCTTGCAATTTCCTTGGCAATAGAGTGTCTTCGTCATCCATCTAACAAAGGAAAAAACAACCTTTAGATTGTTTACTTTCTCATTTGTAGTCAATGATTTTTCAGGGTCTAGAGTTCATAAATGAGTTACTCTGTGTTTGTTATGTTAATGCTGATATACATGAAGTAATGAAAATGTCTGTGCCTGCATTATTATATATTCTTTAATATGCCCAATAGTGCTTTTAGTGAGATTAGTCAGGAAAGATAATATGCTACTGAAGAGCAGAATAAATGCATAAAATCCCTGAATCTGCTCTTTACACAACAAATGTAATGTGTGAAGGAATGAGACAGGCATGATTAGGGTGTCTAAAAATGGTGTTTACTAAATATATACATCATGCAAGGCCCAGCTACTTGTACACACAGCTGTTCTTGTTGTGTTCTGGCAGCTGCCTCAACCCTTGATAGTTCCCTTTGCTTTTTTCCTGCACTTGTTTTTTCTTCATTCTCTGCAGCATATTTAATGGTTGCTCCACAAAACAAGCAGATACAAGACTTTCAGTGTTGCGACCTCAACTTCACCATGCAGACTCTTCCAACAGGTCTTCAGAGTAAGCTTATCTATGTGCCCAACCTTTTCTTTAAAGGCCAATTCAGAGCACTCCTTTATCTGCACATCATTTAGTGTCACATTTGATTTTAAAAGCTGGAGATTCCTTATCTTCCTTCTACCATGCAACTTACTACACAACCCTCTATTTTTGTCTCACCATATAGACTTCTCCCTTCATCTCATCACCTCAATTGCTCTTACCTAGCTAGAACAATGCTGAAGAGTTCAAGTGTTCACTCTAAGCCATGAATTCATCTCTGTATTTCTCCTGAAAGCAATTTTAAACATCAACCGCTTGCCAGCTTCAAGGAAAAGTATTTATTTTTAGGTGAAAACAGAAAACAGGATTGTTCTAATCTCTGGACCACTGCACCATCCCAATGGGGGCTCCCTGGTGAACCCCACAGCTACACCAGATTTTTTTGAACAGCAAATTTACCTGTTTTTTAAATATTTTGGATTCATACTTTACCTGTCTGATAAAACGATCAGCTCCCAGGTTGACCATTAGAGCCTGAAGGAAAGAAAAATAGAGAAAAGATTATTATAAAAATGCTGTGGGTGTCTGCCTTTACAGAAAGAGAGGGAGCAAAAATGTTGACGTAGTACCAAGCCTGAACAGCAGTTAGATCAAGAATCAAGATGGGAGCTCCAAACAATTTGCTGAATGCTGTACAAAACAGGAGGATAAAGTCCTTTCCTTCTGTAGAGCCCTGAGGAAGTTAATATATGTCATACCTCAAATAGTGGACAGATTTCAGGGAAATTTGAAGACCATTTAAAAAAAACTGTAGGACATACTATTTTTCTTGGGTGCACTATTTTACTGAGCAAGCTATTTAACTGGGGGGATCTCTTTATGGCACCAGAAGAGGTCCTTTCTAGTGCGAAGGCTTACTTTCTGGTACAGAAAGACTTGCATGCCAAGTATAACAGGTGTGACATTGATGAAATATGAAAGAAGGATGCTGAGAGAGCAGTTTGGGGAGGGCAGGAAAAAAACAGCAGAGATAGCAAAAGGCAGAGTCACAGAAAGTTCTGAAAGGAAGACAAGAAAAGTAATCTGAAGTGAAAGATGTGAGAAAGCCAGTGAGAGGTTCACAGGAGAGTGAACTGATCAGAGCAGTTTGAGGAGAGTGATGATTTTGGCAGTAATATTTTGGAAAGACTATATTAATATAAAGCTTATTTAATTTGCAATCTAGGGCCTGCAGGACATTAAAAGGAACTTTACTTGCCTTCAAAGTTCTATTCTCTTTTTTCCACGGCTGGTGGTGTGTGAACTCATAAGAAATAAGTTATAGAGCTCAGCCCTTAAGTGAATGGTTTCTTATAGCAATGATGCCACTTTACACTATTTCACAGAGCAGAAAATCAGAATATGGACAAAACCAAGGCTGACTTTGCTTGTTTACCACTATCCCTTTACCATATATCTGCATGACTGCAATTTTTCCAGAGGCAACTTTTTTTTTTCTTTCCAATTCTCAAGCATAAATTTGCAAGCTAAAGGAGAGACATGCAAACTTGCCAGAAGGCCAGATCTCTGGCTGTCGTAAATCCATTATACGCCACAGAAACTGCTTTTGGATCAGTTCCTACCTCTTCTACCGGCAGCTCTTTCAGCTTGGGCAGAGAGCTGGACAGCAATCCAACCAGGAATGGAGTAGGGCAGCAGACAATATCAATCATGGATGAGGGAAGAACAGGAATAAAGGTATGTTGCCAGGAGAAGGGATACAGCAGGGCCACCACAGCATGAGAACAGCTTGAGAGGGTGCTGAGGAAAGAAGAACAACATCATCACTACAGCGTGTTCTTAATCCAAAACACCTGCTTCCATACTACTGAACTCACGGCAGAGTGGGAATTCAGAGAAGATGCCTAATGCATCCAAGCCCAAGTTCCAACTTAGCATCTGGCTTCTGTTCCAATCTCAAACACCCTTCTATATTTGTGGCCTTGTGATAGCTTTGTTATTTCCCCCTGGGCCCATGCTCTTCATAGCACTCAAAGTGGAAACTAGAAGGTTAGTGTTAAACTGTTTCATTATAATAAGGAAACACTGATCTAGGGGGGAAAAAGACAAAATGTCTCGAACAAAACTGCAAACGACTGAACACTAGCAGCTCCTCTTGATGATTTTTAAAATAAAAACAACAGAATTTCAACTATTATACTGTCATATTATGAGTAGCAATGCACAATACCACTGCTGAACACCACAAAAGTTGTAAAAATACTTTAAAAATTATAAAACTCATAGAATGGAACAAAAATTTCCAAATTCTGAAGTGTTTTGAAATTTCTTTTTTTCCAAAATAGACAGTTTTCCTTCTAAATATATCATCCCCACAGGAATTTCTGTCCAATTTCCAAAGTGTTTTGAAATACATTTTTTCCAGACTGAACAGGGTTTTGCTTCTAAATACATCTTCCACAAGAATTTTAGCCCAACTGATGTATTTACCCAAAGGCTTCAATTTTCACAAAATCAGCATTTTTCATCCAAACAGATTCTTTGATGAAAAAAAGCTCTAAGGAACCGAGACTGGTTCTCCCTAGTAAAATGTTAAGATAAGGCATGTGTTTGAAAATGGTCTTTTAAGTAGTATTAAGGATTAGTATTATCCATGGGAAACTCTTTGCTTTCATTGTCCTTCTGCCTAATGAATGTACTCTGGTTTCACTTTATGGTCACATGCTTCCTGAAGGTCAGTTACAAAACATCATCATTATCAAATTAGTTTTAACAGCAGGGAAAGAAAGACAAACCCGCACTTTCAGAGCCGTGACTTTGGCCTGATTGGTAAAGTCTGCCCTTTAACAAGCTGAAGATGACAGAACTTTGGAATTTTACCCAGTCCAGCATGCCGAGCTAAGTTTCTCACACTGCATATCTCAGATATGCTAAGCACGTTCAAACCATTACAAATAACTAAGAAGTTCAGTGTTATTGTGACTTGAGACTGTTAGGTGAGGAGTGCTCATTTATTTAATTGCAAGACATCTTGTAGGCATTAGGTGGCATCAGACTTCCACTCAAATGATGCTTGCAAGCGTTCTTTTCTGAATACAAAGAAGGTATACCACCTGTTTGCTTGCTTATAACAGTTACACTGGAATTGGTTAAAAAAATGGAGGGGGGAGAAGAGGGGACAGTGTTCATCTTTTCCTTGAAATAATCTTTTTTTTTTTTTTTGCTGGTCGCTGTTTAAGATATACTGACTGTGACGTGTTCTTGTGATCTTGCTTAGCAAATTAGTATGTGTTTCTTATCAAAGTTAACTTTTTCTTATATTGTTCCAGAGCACATGATGGTGCTGCCCTTGGTTCTTATCTTGCTCTCCGGTTTATGTATTAGGTAAGCACAATGATGTGCTTCAGGAGAAGAAACTATGAAATGTAATGCGGGCTCCCAGGCAAAATTCTCAAGCCTATTTTAATGGCTTTGTGGTATTTTCAACTGTTAAAAATTGGGTCATTATGGGGAGTGACTAAAAAAAGAGCCATGTTAAGCTAAAAGCAGGAAAACAAACATTCCTCCAACACTCAGTTAATATTTTTTTTTCTTTCTATAGAATGCCCTTTTGTAACGCATCCTCTTCCATGCTGTGACGTAAATCAGCACCAACATCCTCTCTCGTGTGCTATTCCCACGCTTAGGGAGGCTTTCTGCTTCAGACCAGTACTCCGCTTTCTCCTTCAGAACTGTCACAAGGAGCCCATTTGTAATCCAGGCTTGGGGGAAGAGACTGTTCTTGCACAGACATGACAGCATTTGTATCCAACAGGTGTTTGTCCTAGTAATTTGCCTAGCTAACATGATGCAGCTCCCAGCACTGTCACTGTGACCATGACTTGATGTTTTCATTTTAAATTTCTTCAGTCGGATGTTTACAAAGTATTAAAACACCTGGCCTCTAAAAACAATGCCTTTTAAACTATATCAATCTGAGCCCACTCCCCCCCACCAAAGGTCACAAGCCAAATCTGCACTAATGCAACTGTCAGTAAAGTCAGTAGGAGTCATGTACACATACCCAAAGACTGAACTCAGCTGATTTGTTCTGGTCTGATCAACAGCATCAAAGATCATATTTACACAGGGCTACATCTTTCACTGAAACGTGAAGTCTTTATAGATGTCCTAAGTCAAATTCAGAGGTGATAGATGAAAGGGAGCCACTCAGCACAGAAGTCTACTTTAATTTATACTATCTGAGGCCTTCCTATTTGTTGCTTTTCCTGCTCTACGTCTTCCTCAAACCTCTTAATATGAAAGTTACCTCATGATGCACTTATACATATTTCAAACCATTTATACATGTGAAACTTAAAACTCTGTTGTAGCCCCTCTGAATTTTGGTCCTTTCACAAGTGACTACGCCTGTAGGATGTAGATCCCATGAACTTCAGTGAGCTCTGTGCACATGGATCTTCCTGACCCTAGTGACCCTGGCTGACTCTAGTGGGAGAAAGAGTGAGGGCAGCAGAGTGGCCATTGGTCCTGTTTTATGCTGGACCATCTTGTTTTTAAACCTTTTATCCATTCTCTGTTTCTGAAGAAGGAAAGGATTGCAAAAAGTTCTGTTTTTAGTTATTGATGGAAATCATGTCAAACATTTCTCCTAGAGGTAGGGCAGTGTACAGCCAGGAAGAGCAGGGTTCTGAGCCAGCCAGAGAGGAAGGGTGGGAGATGGAGGATCCCAGGGGTTGGTTGCTCTGTGCCTAAGCAAGGAGCCGTGGCTGCAGTACACATCCAGGCACAGCGAGAACCAAGGTGCAGCTGCATGCCTGAGCTCCCTGCGTGTGGGCCATTTTTAAGCACAGGGACACTGATTCATGAGACACAGCAACACTTTAATTAGAGCAGCTCTGAGAGCCACTCTAATTAAAGTGCCACACCTCCCACCCCCAGAGCACGTGTAAAAGTGCCCATGGTTTTCAGTGATGCTTTAATGCTCATTAGACTATTTTAATGTAATGTGCACTAGTGAAGTATCACTAAAAAACTGTATGCTTGTAATGCTCATTCAAATAAGCTAACGCACATTAAAACACATGTGTAGATGTACCTGTTAAAAACCTTTTCATAAAGAATCCCTAGTCTTAATAAGAAATAGGCTTAATAAATTAGAAAAGAAAAATGTATTCTGTGAAATCATGTGTGCTTTGACTTCCCTTCCAGGTTTGCAACCCACATGATACTCTCCATCTTTGTTTATGAAACATGGAAAGTAAAATCAGCTAGTTATTTTCATTCTTCCAGGTGTACAAAATGCACAAAAATCATGAAAAAATACATAATTAAAAAATAACTTTTTTGGCTTTAATAATCTAAAGAAGGTTGGTAGTATAGTGGAATTTTTTTGATGGACCCATTGATCTTTAATCTAAAATTAAACATTAGTTTGCATTATGAACTGTTAATCATACTAGAGAGTATAATTTAATATACTACTTAACACAGAATTAAAAAACTTATCTAAGGGCCTTGTTAAACTTTATGCTGTAAGCTGGACAAACGTTAATCAGCTTAGCGTTGTTGGGCCTAGTGGAACAGTCACACAGTAAGGCAAAAAACCTGCTCTGACTGTCCTTCACCTGCACAGCTGTGACTGTCACTAGAGGACTGGTGAGCAGGGGCAGGACTAGAAGCAGGACCCGATCTCTGCTCCCGCTGGGCAGAGAGCGGGCCCACCGCTGTTTCCATTTCAGCAAAACCAGAGAGACCCCAGGAAGCAGCTTCCCTGGCACTCTCTGGTCTTGCTGAGACTGACACAGCAGCACTGCACTGACAGCCCTGCTCTCAGCACAGAGCCACTGTGTCAGTTTCTGTGAGACCAGAGAGCTCCAGGTCTCCAGCCCTGGAGCTCACTCACTTCAAGCTTCAAGGGGTCCAATCTTTTTTTCTCCAGAGCTCAGGCAGTGCTCACCCCCTCCATCACCACCAGTGGGGGCAGAGTTGATTTGGGCAGCAGCAGGAGGCACCATAGCCACCAGGTGTTCTGGGGAGAAAAGAATGAGGCCCCTTGCTCAGGTGGTGTCTGGCCAGCCAGTAGCCTGGCTGGCAGGGCCTGGGGTGGTGGGCACCATTTGAGCTCCGGAGAAAAAAGGATCAGGCCCCCCATAGCTCAGAGCATTCTGGGTTACTGGAGGACTTCAACTTGGGAAGAATAGCTGCAGAAAATAGTCACACAGTAATGGAACACGAACAAAATTAGGTGGATTGGAGTGGCATAACTCTAAGCCAAATAATGAGTGCTTTAAGCTACTTAAAAGGTTTTAGCATGTACCCAACCCAGGGATTAAGAGCTCCAGAAGCCACCTAAATTTACCATGCAACAAGGCTCTAACTCTAACTACACAGTTGGTCCAATAAAAGATATCATCCTAAGAAATCCTTGTGTCTTGCATAATTTCTGTCAGCCCTGATGCCATGTGCTTCCTAGCTCCTTGGGGCAATGCAGGGGAGCACAGCAGTTCCCTGGAGCCGGAGGAGCCCGCACCAGCCCCCAGCCCCTGTCCCCATCTCTGTCCCCA